GGAAGATATCCGCCCCAATCGGTGCTTAATGGACTTAATCATCGTTGAAGAATAGCCTCAGACCGAATCTGTGATCTGTAGCCTCCAAAATCCAAGGTAAATGGCCTTTCGAAAAAAATCATCTAAAATATTACGAATATGCCATCCCAAAATAAATTCGGCAAAATATATGCTTAATGGGCTTAATCATTGGCAGATAATAGGATCGTTAGACTTCATTATATGTGGAGAATAGCCTCGGGTTGAATTCGTGATCTGTAGCCTCCAAAATCGAAAGAAAATGGCATTTCTAAAAATTGCCTGAAATCGGTGATGGTACCCCTTTGGAATCTGCCAAAAATTGACTCGGAATATATACGACAGAATCGGTGCTTAATGGACTTAATTGTCGTTGAAGAATAATCTCAGACCGAATCTGTAATCTGTAGCCTTCAAAATCCATGGTAAATGGCCTTTCGAAAAGAATCGTCTAAAATATTACGAAAATACCATCACAAAATAAATTTGCACAAATCGATACTTAATGGGCTTAATCATTTTCGGAGATTATGATTAATAGACTTCATTATTTCTGGAGAAAGCCTCAATTTGAATACGTCATCTGTAGCCTCCAAAATTGAAAGAAAATGACATTTCGGAAAAATCGCCCGAAATCGGTGATGATACCCCTTTGGGATCTGCCAAAAATTGGCTCGGAAGATGTCCGCCCGAATCGGTGCTTAATGGACTTAATCATCTTTGAATATTAGCCTCAGACCGAATCCGTGATCTGTACCCTTCAAAATCCATGGTAAATGGCCTTTCGAAAAGGATCGTCTAAAATATTACGAAAATGCCATCCCAAAATAAAATCGCCCAAATCGATGGATAATGGGCTTAATCATTGACGGAGAATAGGATCAATAGACTTCATTATATGTGGAGAATAGCCTCGGGTTGAATCCTTGATCAGTAGCACTAAAAATCAAAAGAAAATGGCATTTCGGAAAAATAGCCCGAAATCGATGATGGTACCCCATTGGGATCTGCCAAAAATTGACCACGAAGATATCCGCCCTAATCGGTGCTTAATGGACTTAATCATCGCTGAAGAATAGCCTCAGACAGAATCCGTGATATGTAGCCTTCAAAATCCTTGGTAAATGGCCTTTCAAAAAGGATCGTCTAAAATATTACGAAAATGCCATCCAAAAATAAATTCGCCCAAATCGATGCTTGATGGGCTTAATCATTGACAGAGAATAGGATCAATAGACTTCATTATATGTGGAGAATAGCCTCGGGTTGAATTTGAGATCTGTAGCCTCCAAAATTGAAAGAAAATGGCATTTCGGAAAAATCGCACGAAATCTGTGATGGTACCCCTTTGGGATCTGCCAAAAATTGACCCGGAAGATATCCGCCCGAATCGGTGCTTAATGGACTTAATCATCGTTGAAAAATAACCTCAGACCGAATCCGTGATCTGTAGCCTTCAAAATCCAGTGTAAATTGCCTTTGGAAAAAAATCGTCAAAAATATTACGAAAATGCCATCCCAAAATAAATTCGCCAAATCGATGCTTGATGAGCTTAATCATTGAAGGAGAATAGGATCAATAGACTTCATTATATGTGGAGAATAGCCTCGGGTTGAATCCGTGATCTGTAGCCTCCAAAATCGAAAGAAAATGTCATTTCGGAAAAATCGCCCGAAATCGGTGATGCTACCCCTTTGGGATATGCCAAAAAATGACTCAGAAGATATTCGCCCGAATCGGTGCTTAATGGACTTCATCATTGTTGAAGAATAGCCTCAGACCAAATCTTTGATCTGTAGCCTTCAAAATCCATGGTAAATGGCCTTTCGAAAGGGATCGTCTAAAATATTACGAAAATGCCATCCCAAAATAAATGCGCCCAAATTCGTTTTAAGCGATGATTTGGCTCGATAATATGGCTACCGGGCTACGTCGACTAGTAACTCATGAGTAAATTGATTTATAATTTATGAATTGGCTTGTTGATAATTCAATGTTTGTTAGATAATGCATCCCATTACCTATGATGTTTAAAACTTTGTGTACATGAGCAAATATGTTTCATTTATAATTTAAAATTTAAAATGAAATTATGTTTGATGATATCGTAGATTGTTTAGGTACTAATTACTATTAAATAACATGATATGACCAATTGAAATGTATGAACTAAATAATATGATACCCGAACTAGAACCAAACTTACGAGCTTATTGATGACTCGAACTCAATTAGAACTCGCGAACTCGTTAATGCGTCAACTCGAAGTGAGCTCAAGTCAAATACGAGCCAATATTTTAAATAAACAAATCGAATAACTCGACTAGTTTATTAACAAGTTAATCTCAAAATAACCCAAATTCAACTTGACTCATTGAGCTGGTGGAATTGAAAAGGAACAAAATGTTCCACTTCTCCTCATCCATCGCTAACCACAAAACCGATTCATCCATTATTGTCCATACTTGCTTGTTCAACTCAGTTTGGAGAAAAAGTTAATTAGTATGTGTTACTCCAAATAAGATTTTATATCACTAACGAATGTGAGCAAGAGGCCGATTGTTGTTTGTAGCTACTTGCAGAGTAGCATCCAAGGCCGATCAATCTGCTACAATAATCCACCTCCTAATTAACACGCCACCGTCTGCCGGCCGGCAATGGATCCACTGGCCACTATAAATTCCAAGCTCCATTTCCCCCCCAAAATCCCAACTCACCCTCCGCCATTATTTCCCAACAAAGAACCCAAACAAAAAAAATTCGATACGATGAATCCCGCCGCCTTCCTAACCTTCCTCCTCATGATCACACTCAGCCCCGTCCTCACCGCCGCTGGGCGCCCGCCGCTCCGCGATACCCACGGCAACCTCGTCGAGTCCGGAAGACAATACCTCATCGTCCCGGCGACCTACTACACCGGCGGCGGCGGGGGGCTGACCTTGGCCGCCGGCGCCCCCACCAACAACAACCACACCCATGCCTCCTGCCACGTCAGCATAATCCAAGCCAACAACCCGACTTCCCACGGCCTCCCCGTCACATTCACCCCCCGCGACAACAAGCAGTACCGCCCCGTGACCATCTTTGGCGCCATGGATCTGAACATCCAGTTCGCCGCTTCCTCGGCCTGCGCGAAATCCACGGTGTGGAAGGTGATGAGCGGGTTCCACCATCACCAGGGCGCCCAAAAACGGTTCGTGGCGGTCGGCGGCGACAAGGAGATTGACCATCACCGATCCTCGGCGTCGAATTGGTTCAAGATCTTTAGGGTGAAGCAGCAGCACAACAATCATGGTGGAAAGGCCCCGCCGGTTTTGTTCAAGATCGTCGCCTGCTCGTCGGCATGCAAGGAGTGCCACGTGTCGTGCAAGGACGTCGGGGTCGTTGTCGACGCCAAGACTGGGGCCCGCAGGCTTGCTCTTGCTAATCATGGGCCTCTGCTGGTCCAGTTCAAGAAGGTCTGAGGTGCAGCGCTACTGTTGTTTGTTTCTTTATTTGTGGCATTAGCGTTTGGGGGATAAGAGATATCAGGCGGCTATGTGCTTTTTCATTTGTGTTTGTTTTCCTTTTGGGCGGGTGCCGGCCGGGTGGTGTAACAAATCTGTTTTCTAGCGCGAGCATTCCAGCTCTACGTGTTATTATTATCTGATAGTATTTTCGACTTCTTTCTAGCGTGAGCATTCCAGTTCTAGTGGTGTTAATCATATGAAGATCTAATCACGTCAAAGCCCGGAGAGAAGGCTTATCACGGCAACATAGTACGAATTTCAAATCATAAAACATATTACATGATAGTACTCTCGGCAATTTTTCTAGCATTGAGCTTTGTTCGAGCTCTAGTAGTACTGCTAAACACATGAAGATCTATTAACTACACAGTACTCATGAGTGACACAATCAAAGATTAAGCATAGATCAATTTGCCTAATTTCACAATGTGGTTCATCAAACCAACGAGTTAAATCCTTTTGAATTGAGCATCTAACACTAATATAAACCGTCTTTGATCTATAAAACGCAATAAAAAAAATTAGGCAGTCCTTTCAAAGGAATAATGCATGTCGTTGGTAACTAACTTGTAAAAATTCTCGTTGATTTATTTCTTATGCATTAAGAGTAATAATATTCTCTCATCGACCTTAAACTAGTAGTAGTGTGAGCATTTGTCATGAAAAAGTACTCATCAGAATATTTGACACCTTGTCAAAATCGAGAAGTGAAAAAGAAAACTTGTTACCCTTCTTGCTATGGAGAATAAAAAGAATACATATGTAAGCATTATACATGAGAACAATATCTCTAGCTAGGGCTACATCAATTGTACTATAAAAATTTGTTCAAAAAATATATGTATAAACTGAATTTGTATAACCACAACAATAAAGATACAATTTTAGTTTGTATCACAAAGAAATTTATACAAAAGTTTATTGATACAAATCAAATTTATACCATAGCATTAAAGATACAAATTCAATGTACTATAGTTTTTTTTAGAAACACCAAATGGTGAAATATATAATTTAACAATCATATCAATTAAACTCATAAGATATAGATCGATTCGCCCATAAGTCATTAATCAAGTTGGCTCTCTAGCCACAATGGGAGACATTCATTTGCTCTAAAAGAGCCAGCTCACGAGTTTAGCTCAACAAGTCACCGAGTCGAGCTAGCTCGCGAGCTTCACAAGCTGAACAAGGTTGAGCTCGTGCTCGGCTCGTTAATAAACGAGTCGAGTTTTGAACGAACTTTTTTCCGAGTCGAGCGCCGAACCGCTCGCGAGCAACTCAGAGGGAACCAGACCTACCCTTACACCCAGAGGGCTGGGCCTGTCTCAAACCCAGCGTGGTTTAAAGAAAAACATGCTCAAACCCAACCGAAGCAATTGGGCTTTGGCCCGTTCTTTAGGTAACAAATTTTCGCGGGACTCAACAAACGTCCCAAACAAGACTGTTCTAGAACGAGTCCCAAACCCCTATTTAAAACCAAACCGGATCCCCATTCGACAGCTGCACGCGAAGACTCTGCCATTCCCGCCGTCTGCTTAACCCCCTCCTTCCCAGCCAGCAATCAGAGAACTCGATCGCCATGGATCCTCAGCCAGAGCCAGTCAGCTACATCTGTGGAGGTAACATCCAAAAACAAGAACAACTTCTCATCTCTTTGCCGGTTCCCGTGAACAAGCCAAGTTCTGATGGTTTAATGGATTCTGTTTTTTTTTTTCTTCGTTCGTAGATTGTGGGACGGAGAACACTCTGAAGCCCGGCGATGTCATCCAGTGCCGAGAGTGCGGTTACCGCATCCTCTACAAGAAGCGCACCCGCCGAAGTAATCCTCCTTTCCTGCTCTCTCTCTCTCTCTCTCTCTCTCTCTGGGGGTTTTCAATGACGAGAATTAGGGCTTATGTGCTATCCTTAGGTTTTGATTCTCGCTCCCAATCACGACTCCGCTGATCGTGATTCTAGTGATGCTCCCTATTTGGGATCTTTCCTTCCGTTGATAGGATGGCGGATATCTGTATCTCTTCATTCCTAGATCGCCCATGCCTTTAGGCTCATCTTTTGACTGCATTAGCATCTGAGAATGTATAATTGGAAAAATCTGAATGCGCAGAAAAGCCAAGGTAGTGACTTGTTTAGCTTGCTGATAATGGGGAATTAGTTGGTTGTTAGTTGTGCGTTTGATTTGTGTATAAGTAGCATTTGGCTTGGGTTACCTTGATGGATATTAAGCTGTAGACTCTGTATTCTCCTCCTATGGTGACGAGATACTTTTTGTCAATGCAACCTCGAAATGAGCACATTTTGGGGTTTCAAGTAGCAAACGAAGTCGGAATGGGATTGCTAAATCATTTTTTTACTGTTCCAGGCTGTTGTTCTGCATTTTAGCTCATGCTCTCTTACTAGCAAAGTTCTTTCACATTGCTGCTGATTGATATTCTAACACAGCATCTGTGTTTGCTTTTGTTTCAGTTGTTCAGTACGAGGCACGCTAGAGAACGATTCGCATGCTGATGACTGTGTTTACCGGAGTTGATTGTGATAACCCGAAAGGGCCCCGTAACTAAGACAATATTGATGTTTGAGTGTTGCAGTTTGTAAACGTTAATGAGACAGACTTAATGTCATGAAAGTTTGTCATTTTATGGAATTGTGTCAATTTCTGTGGTGTTTTGGTCTTAAGTCCTTTTTCATGAGTGACTAGAATCGATACCCGCGGCTACGCCGCAGGGACTAAACTTGCATCAATATCATTCTACAGTCTGTAGAGTATTAAGGAGGTGGTCCAGACAGTTAATGTCACAATGAACGTGTATGCCTACCAGTGGTGTGTTGGTAACTTGGCATGGTATGCTAATTTCTTTCATTGAAAATTGTATTCAACTTCCTTTTCTATTTAGTCTTTCATATTTTGTTTATGTTCTCACTAATTAATGTCATCAGTTAAGCAACATGCCAGTTGATGAGATGACAATGGGAAACTGAAATATACTCCTTAGAGCAATCACACGTGCACCAAGAGAATGAACTTATCAATATCATCAACATGTATAAGGAACTGAAGGCTCTCGGCTGATCTACATGAGAAATGGTAACATTATACAACTGTTGTAACTAAAATCGGGCTTGGGCAAGAACACTCCAACTCTATCGAGAACCTGATCCTGGCCTTTGTTGATCATCATGACATAGCAAAGTTGGATAGGGTATTGCATTCTCTTCATCCTAAAAGTTCACCTTTGACCATAAACATTGAAATCAATCCTCAATAGCAAGCAACAGACTTGATTTGAGAGATTTCATGACAAAAATTAAGTATGGTATTAAATCTTGACGGCAACAATAATAACTTAAGTTAATAGTAGCTGGATATTTAGTATGACATTCTCAAAAGCAATCTCCAAGTCGGGCCGAAAGCCAGTGCTAAGTTTAGTTAGTACACAATATCAACTAAAATTAAGGGAGCTTCTCCATAAGAAACGTGAAGAACATATTGTCAAGAAAAATCATTGTTTGCAAGTAGCTCAACAACCTGTAAGGCTTGTAGACATCCATCCATTCAGGTTCATCCAACAACCATATCCGCTAAAGACGCAAATGAATTGTTCAAAATAAAGAAAATTTAACAACATATATCAATATTATGGATCAAGGAAGAACAACCATGTATTAATAAAAAGCGCCTATATAAGCAAAATAGCAATATGGTGAATTTAATTACCATTAACCTCGTGGTCTTATATAGTTCTCCTTTAGGCAAACAACAAAGAAAGTTTGGCAATTTGTACATTGCCACTTTCCAAATACCAGTTGAACCTCATAATCCTAAGCTTGATCCCTGCAACTGCAAGATAGATGAAAGGAAACCCCCACCTTTAAGCATGAAAAGGTTTAAAATAATTAAAATTCGGAGTCCTTTTACTGGCAGTACATCAAAATTCACAAAAAAACAAAAGGCATTGATTATCTCTTACCTTTCAATGACAAACTTATCACACAATGTTCCTTTCGTTCATTCTGCAGCCCTCTGCCATTACTGCTCTATTTTGTCCAAGTCCATCTGGTGCTTTGAAACTGGCATCAAAATCTCAAATATCATTAGATTTTCAGCCAACAAAAGTGCCAAGTGGGTTATTTCTAGCGAACTAAGCACAAATTTCTTCCGAATGTATTAGTCGGAATTAAAGCTGGCATCAGAGAGCAGCTAGCTGACAAAAGAGCAAAGGAAATGTAAACCAATGAAACAACAAATAGCATTCACTCACGAATAACCGCTACCCAGGTCTCAAACGAAATTTTACGAAACTCAGAAAGAAAGGAAGCAATTAGAAACCTCAACAGTAAAAAAAAGGATTACCATTGCTTGTATTGTATCCATCCACTAACTTAAAAGGCACAGGAAATCACTTACCATTGCTTGTATCTTCGATTTCAACAGAAGTAGTGACACAGTTGTCTATCCTTCTACTTGCAGCAGCATAAAACTCACATCAAACAACATATTCATCCAGCCACCCCTAATCAACAACAAATAAAATATATCTTTTACACCGCCAGTCTCTCTCTACAATACTTACTGCCATTCAAAACTAAGAAAAGGAAGAGAGCCCGTGAGTCTTAACCAAAGGTTGACGCAACTGAACCAGTTTTCAAGGAATGATCAGTTGCGGCTCATCTTCGTCGCCATGGGGGTTCCTTAGGTGAGCACTGGGCAGGTTTCGCCGCCGTGGAACTTAATCCATCTTCTACGCCATCTCTCTCCTTCACTATGATACGCTCTGCTAGTTGTTCATGTGAAGCGGGACCGGAGTGGAAAATCACAGCAACCATTAACTTGTCGCGCTGGCAGCGGCAAGAATAAATCAGAATTGGACTTCGAAATGATTAATGGCGCGGGGCTGGTGCAAGAGATATTTGACACGAAAAGGGAGAATGGGAGGAGGTTTGGCCGAAGAATTGGGTGCTAAACCAAGAACAGATAAAAAGAGAATCGAACTGAAAGGTGCATATGAAAAAGGGTCGACGGAGAAAAAGTCTTCCCTCGAAGGCTAAGAACCTATGTAGAAAAATTATGGGCGCTGAAGTGTTTGAGTAGGTTTTCAGAGTTCGACATCGAGAAGCAAACCAGAATGGTGGGGGTCGGAGATGATTGATGCAGTAGCTTGCAAAAGCAGATTTTGGGGAGGACGGGGGATACAGAAGCATGGTCGCTGCAATTGATAAGACAGCAACAGAGACAGATGGATGGAAAGGGGTACGGCCGGGATGCTCTTATCGAGGAAGCGGCCAACAAATCCGGTGTTTGGGAGTACATAGGACATCAATCTTCCCTGAATTGAGGGGAGCAAAGCGGGAGGCACAATTGATGGCCGGTGGCGTGTGTGGCCAATGGTGAAGGGAGTGGGTAATCAGGAAGAGCAGGTTGGAACACTGAAAAGATGTACAGACTGATTTTGGGGGAAAGGCGGTGAAGGAAAGGCATGGTCAATGTTTCTGATTTTCTGATTGCCGATTTTGGGGCAAGATCGGGAAGGGGAGGTACGGACAGCTCGGGCGGGGAAGGAAGTGCGTGGGGCTAAGGTCTTTTGCCTATCGTCCACTAAACTCCAAGAAATGAAACAGTGGATAGAGAGTTTGGGCGAAAAAAGCGTACCTACATTTCATATGTAAAAGAATGTACACTTAACTAGCAGTAAAAGTGGCTCTTTCAGCATATATATAGGAAGGAGAAAAGTAAACTGCATCCACTATAGTAACTGTAAAATAAATAACAAGAAGTTACTCTGTAGTCCCTTTTTCCCGTTGTGGTCTCTCCTCTATATTACCTCTTTCTATCAAAAGCAAAACTGTAACCGATTCTGTGAAAAACAACTATACTGAGAGTACCAAAATTATAATGCTACAGCTCAGGAGCAACACCAGCCAGGAAGAACAGCTCACACTGGAAAATTTCCTGGACGACCCATCGCTAAGTACCGTCATCTGTAACATCTCTACTGACACCCTCAAAATTGCCACCAACCCGAAAACCAAGCACACCAAGAACACGACTATACCCTTGTTCTCCAGCCACACTTGATTCTCCTCAACCTTCTCGATCCTCGATCTGGCAATACATAAAACAAGATGAAATATTAGACAATGCTTGGTCGACTATTGCAGCACAGGGTTTAGAGGTAAGGTAGGAAGAGGAAGTAACCTGAGATCAAGGTTTTCATTCAGGATATGATCCATTTTCGTTGTAAGAAGAGATTTCCAAGACACAAGATCGTTAACCTCTCCAGCCTGAAAGAACGAAAAGTCAGTCACATTAAATGGTTAGGAAAAATACCACTCTGGCGTCTGGTCCAACACAAAGCAATCAGAGTGAACTACAGAGCCACTTACCATAAGTTGCTGGCTGTCATGGAGACTCTTCATGTCGAGTTTGATCTTTTCCAGAGTCAAAGTTTTCCCTGCTATCTCTTTGTCGAACTCTTGGAAGATATTGCCATACCTGGAGTTGACTTCCTCAACGTACCTTTCCAAGATGGAGAGGCTTCGGTCGAGTGAACGGGCTTTCTGCATCAGTATCTTGAGGGCACTGTCGCCATTACTCCTGCCAACTTGACGATAAGGAACTCCTTCAACCGTATCAGCAGCCACTTCGGTTTTCGAATCAGGAGTTTCGACTGACAACAACTCAGATTCAGCCTCTTTGAAAGAGTCCTGATGATGATGCTCATCAACACCCTGTGGGTGTACTGATGATTTCTGCTCAGTAGAATCCTCCTCATCTGGCACAAAAACCTTTTCTTGAACTGATACCAAATCCTCCAGCATTTTTTCAACAGCATCAACCCCATAAACCTCGAAAAGGCTTAGTGTACAGTAAAACTCAGACCCATAATGGCTCAGAAGATTCAACTTCAGATATCTCACCCATTTGGGCTCTGGAAGCACAAACCTTCTCGCCTGCTTGACATTGGCTGTTGTAAAGTTCCCCAGCTTGACCCATTCTGAAGTTGGATAAACCAAGCTACCAAGCACCTCAAAATCCTTTAGATTCGATGAGTAATGCTCGAGATTTGCAATCTCTACAGTATCTACTAAAGTTTCTTCAGAGAGCTCGATTATGACATACTTCTCTTCTGCAGAACACGGATTGCGGAGGTACTTGTCCTTATCTCTCATTAAGATGTTTGAGGCCCCTTTTGCTTCCTTGTTGAAGGCCAAGACTTTTGCTCCTTTTGAAGATGAAGCATAGTTGTACTCTTTCCCTCCCGGCTCCATTCTATGTACCACTTTACCGGTTCCTGTTTTGGTTTTGGAGCTGAAAGCTCTACTTTTGAATTCATCAAGCCCAAGAGTGACAACTCGCGAGAGGCGATCGTTCTTTGGACCTATATCTCCTGGTCTCCCGCCACGGGTTGCCTCCTGATGGTAAAATTCGATTCCACAATTGCTATTATCTTCAGCAGCAACAAGCAACTCTTCATCTGAAGCTTTCTTTACAGCAGGATCTATACATGAAGTCTCGTCGGACTGCTCACTGACTTCTGTATGTACTGAATCAGAATTTTTCCCATTTTGAAGTTTCTGTTCTGTCCAAGTTGATACGCCCACACTCTGTGAAGTTTCTGTAGATCCATCTGACAACCAAGGACATAAATAGCAGAATCCCAAATTAGTTCCTCAAAGTGGAAGCAATTCGAAATAGAATATATCAACAGCGAATTTAATCAACTTCTTAGCAGGAAATCCAAAATCCCAAATCGAAAGTGAAAGTCTTTTGACTAGAAGTGATTATGTTCCTGCATGGTGTACACAAAACAACACTTTGGAAGTGAGCTAGAGCAGTTGAGCTACTCTGATCAGTTTTCCCCTTTTCACTAGAAAACAATCAGATGTGCTCAGTCCACAACTAATCTGGTAGCATGTGTCTAGGTAATGACAATCTGAACAGTCAGGTCTTCCCAACAAATTCTTAACCAGAAACAAAGGAGGTTCCTCATTTAAGTAGCATATCAAGCAGAAAAGAAGGTTTTCATATACTTGACATGTCCTCAGGCATAACTAATTAAAATTCTGTAATTCTTAAATCTGCGGAAAAGCTTAGAGATTTTCACCTCTATATCCATCACTTTGGCTGATCCACAGACTTGATAGGAAAACAAGCCCCCACAAAAGAAGAACCAAAGACAAAGAAAGCTTGTACAACCGATTCTTCCCACTGGTATCCTTCTCCATAGAAGCTCTTCTTTGCAGAAAAGCCCTCCGTGATCTCTGCATCGCTACATCAATCCAAGGGAATCCTGACCCTCAATTCATTCACCCAACCAATGAACAGACTGGCCACAACCTGCACCAAATCGAAATATGAATATCAAGGCCTTTTACTGCAATGGAATGAGCACAGCCCATCATAAATGCCGAGTCCCAATGGGTTTTGGAGATCTTAAAGCTTTGAAATTCAGTCGAAGTAGAGAGAAGTTAAGTATGAAATGTTATTGAAAACGGGACAAAGTCCATCAGCGTTCAGAGATTACTTGAGCGATGTTCAAAGCGATGCCAGTTGAACGAGAAAAACAAAGTAAACAGCAGGAGTTAGACTGGCAGTTGAGCTGCCATGACCCCGTTCCAGCTCAAACACTCTGGCAATAACTTCGGAGAAACGGCAAACCCAAAGCAAACGGCAAGTAGAAGAAGAAGATTGACCTTAGCAGTCAAGTTATTAAAAAACCCCACGTACACTACACTTCAATCACACGGTAAGGGGAAGAAAGCAAAACAAAACAAAAAAAAGCCCACCAAAATCCGACGGGAAATCAAAATGAAAATTCCGCAACCAATTAACGCAGATCGAACAAGGAACCCCGAAACTCCGACGAGGGGTAATGAGCTCCCGCCGATCGGAACCTCGGGATACCTGGCACAACCAGATCCATTACCGGAGTGGAAACGCGTTGCCGGAATTCGGGTAAAAAAAGGAAAGGGAATCAAATCGGAAAAAACAATCACCTGAAATTCACAGATTGCGAGTCGGGAAGTAAGGCTGTAAGGGGCCGGCTGGCGGCGGGAGAATCACGCCGGCCGTCCGCGGAAGGCGGACTGGAGGAGGAGGGAAGGAAAGAAGGAGAAGAGAGAATCGCGGGTGGGAGGGTAATGTTTGGTGGTGGGCGTGCCGTCGTTCCGCTTTTTAATTTTAATTTTGTTGCCTAACCGCCGCTCTTCTTTCTAACTTCTTCGTCTCCTTCCCCGTAACGGATCTCTCTCTTTCTTTCAAATTGCAAATCTCATTTTTGACAGATTTTTCTCTGCTTGACTGACTAATCTCTGGATTAACCAATTTTAAATTATAGACATTTTTTTATCAAACAACAAAAATTCAAAACAGTTCTACCAAACGGTGGGCTAAAACCCTTACAATTCAAATGTAAGGTTATATTGGAATACATATTATCTGCAATAATCAATCTGTCATTACGTTAACGTATATATTTTTTGTTGCTTAATCATTTTTCGTCCATTGTTATTATCGACATGAAACTTTAAATACCCTTATAAACAACGTTTTTGTAAAAAAAAAACTCATAGAGAGGAAGTATTGATGAACTAGGTAGAAAAATGTCACTGTGTCAAAATACAATGGTCGTAAAAGTGCCCAATAGATGATCTGATGTCTGAGTGTTCATGTGGATTCGTTCTCTTTGATGCCTTGTGAACACCTTAGCAAGCTAACTATATACACTTTTCGCATTTTAAGAGTTAAGTTTCATCATAGCCGTTATGATTGAAGTACTATAACACTCTTTTACTTCAAACTCAAGCAATGGTTGGTGAAAATCACATCATAAAAGAATGGGATGCAATTTATGTTATACACACTGTAGTTTATCATTATTACATTGATATATAAACTAGTTTATTCTTTTGAGTACCATAAGCTACCATGTACATAACATACAAATACATAATAAATTAAATTTGCAGCTAATAGAAATGTATGGACAGTTTGTGAAGTTCAAGACAAATGGCAACAGACCAATGGCCGAACTGGAGGAAGCCTGTTGGGCAGTAGAATAAACGGCCGGCATGGTTGTCACGCCGGCCGGCGTGCCACCGGTTGTACCGGGTTCAACCGGTACCGGTCATAAAACCGGCGTGACACCACCGGTATGACCGGCATGATCGATATACGAATCTCTAAGTAAAATGACATTATTTTAGAGAATTTAATTGATAAAAATTATTTTATTATTTATTTTATGAGTATAAAAGTTAAATATTGATGTTATTTGTTGGATTCAAGTATAAATGTTTAGGTATTGACGTTAAATGTCATGTTTAAATATGAGTATTTATAATTTTATTTGTAATATTGACCGGCATGAACCGGTACAAACCGGTATGTGCCACCGGTTGAACCATTCCACTTGCTAAACCGGCACACTGGCATAAACCGGTTTGACAACCTTGACGGCCGGGGATTGGATTGCTGCCGTGGCCAAATGAATCCCGCCATGTTACTGACAGGCTGGAGGCACCCGTAATAAAAAAATCACTAATTTTTTTAAAAAAACAGTGGGGACAGGTGAGGACAAAAATCGAAGAAAAGAAGGGAGGACTAGTGGAGATCCAACACTGAAAGTGAAAAGTCGTGCCAAGAAGAGTGAGCTGGCATCACCGTCATTCATTCCCCCGGATTGGCGCCCAACTCTATAACCAACCTGAAGCCAGCTATCGCGCGTTCAGCTACGCGCCCAATTTTCACTGGCTGGTGGGTGCAAGCAAACTGCAAACTCCCCGCCATCTCAGGGCGGAACGCGCCACCGCCATTTTTAAAAACCACTTGTCCAGCCCACCCATCCTCAGCAGCCCACTGACACTGGCCCAGAATATCAGAAGAACAAACCTTGTCCGGCCCAAGATGTCCAGGCCCAATAAAGTTCAAGTTCCCTTTTTGCAAACGAAGAGCGCGAACAGCGCGGGAAGTCGACTTGACCTGTCCTCCTTTCTGCTGCTCCATGGCATGGCACCTTCCACTGTTGCACTTTAATAAATCGTGAATCAAGCAATTAGATTTTGATCACACCAGCGACCAGCCTCTCATACGAATGAATAGAAGGGTCAATGAAAGCAGACAACAATAAAGCAATTACTGTGTTTCAAACTCGAGACAAGACTATCGCCATGATCCCAGCAACCTGCTTCTCTTATATCTCAATCAGTGATCACTTCCCCACTGAAATTGCCCAGATCATTCATCATTCAGCCTGTTATCTGAAATAGTTAACACGCTCTTCTCAATCTCTGCAAGACAAGCACCCCACTTTCCACTAAGAACCTCTCGTTGACAGAATCCATATGGTGCCCTTTAACAATTTCAAGAAACATATCCCTCGCTTCTTCATCATAGTCATCCACACCATGGCCATCACAAAGCCCCTCTCACCTTTGCCAGCATCATCTTTTTTCAAAAAGCTTTGCGAGTTGAGAAATTAAACCCCTGGAAGCAAGACCGCCTGCCTATGATTTCCAGTGCACTTGAGTTAATCCTGATCACCTCGTCATCTTAAATTCTCAATGGTCCAAGTTGGATCTTTGCGAACGATTTCGGTAGCCATCGCTTCATGCAGGGCGTGTAATGACAGGCGATCATATCTGTCGACAAGAACAAGAGACCTGTCCACCAGAGATGTTATTCCATTTATTGCATCAAGATCGCAGGCGTCCAACACAGCAATGACAGCCTCCTTTCCTCTTCTTTTGAAATTGAATGCAACGTGGAGGAAAATGGTTCGTTCCTCAGAATCTAGCTCATCGAAACTAGTCATCAGATCGCTATTGACACCTGGTAGAGGAAATCGTGTTAGCTTCTTCAGTTTGCTCTCCCACAAACGTGCATCTGGCTTTGTACTTAAGAATTTCCCCAGCTCGATCAGTGCTCCTGGATTGCCACCGGCATACTTTATCACCCCTTCAACCACAGCATCAAAGTCGATTGAAGGACTGTTCCCACCGAATGCAACTAACCTCAGGAGATCGTGTGCTTCAGGTGATGTCAAGGGTGGAACCTCATACGTTCTTACCTCAAAATCCTCGCACCCAACTCCCTTAAAGACTTGTCTGTTCCTGGTGGAGACTATGATTCGGCTTTCAGCTCCGAATTTCACTTTATCGCACAGGTCCGCCAGAAATTCTATCTGTTGCACTTTATTCACTCCATCCAGTAGGATGAGAACTTTCTTGTACCCTTTACTAGTCATGTTAGACAACTCTTGCTCCAATTGAACTCCTTTGTAGTTGCTAAGAGCACAAAACCCATCAAATTGACCACAGCAACTACCATACACGCACTCTGAAAGCTTAGACTTCCCTATGCCTCCCATACCCCAAATGGAGACAATGCAGATACCATCAGATGGAGCATCCAAGAGATGTTGGACCTGCAGCATACGCGGCTTGATCCCGACTAGTCCTTTGTAATCTGCATCCAAGGACTCAAGGTTCATCTTCTCCAACACATGCAGAACAATGTCATCAACAACTTTTTCTGCGGGCCTTTCCAAGTGATAGAATACAAAACAAACACAGACAGTCAACAGACAGATACCGAGAGCTGTAGAGGATCAGATTCATGACATCGCTTGAAGAAGCTAGCTGAGAGTTAGGGTTTTACCTAATTGCAGGCGCTACATGCCTATCTCCATCACTGATTTCCACCACATTTGACAGTGCAGCCCTGAAGGTGTTCGCCTTTTCAGGCTTCTCCGCGTCGTATATAGCGAAGGGGCCGGCGAAACTCCCACTCTGCTGCTCTACCACGGCCTTGGTCAAGCGGAAGAACACCGGAATAACGATTTGAGCTGCAGCTCTGTGGAGTTGCATAATCAGGACCACCTCATCCAAGCACCACTCCGAATTAGCGAAGTTTTCCGATAAAACAATGATTGACATCTTGGCACCTCCAATCGCTCTCTCGATCTCTGGCCAGATCTCTTTCCCTCTCCTGAAATTCTCGTCGAACAAGGGTCGGACCCCTGCTCGGCGGAGAGCCGCGTAGAGGAAACCGATCAATTCATATCGCACATCGAACCCTCTGAAACTGATGAACACCAAGAAGTCATCGCGGAAACTACTGCTGAACACCCCGGGAGCCATTTTTGGAACAACAAAAGTTGGTGTTGACTGCTGAAGCCTGAAAGAGGCTTTCCCCCCCTTTTTTTTTTTTTTTGGACAAGGAGCTGCAGAACTGGAATGGAATCTCTCCCTTTTAGTCCTTCTGGTAGTATTAAAAAAAGACTTTAAATTTCAAGGTCTTCTTTCTCAGACTTTGTAACTATTGACAAACAGGTCCTTTCTCCACTAACTAATGACCATGGTTGTCATGCCGGTGGCATGCCACCCGGTTGAACCTGGTTCAACCTGTGCCGGTCATGAAACCGGCATGACACTACCGGTATGATCGACTTACGCATTCTAAGTAAAATGACATCATTTTAATGAATTTAATGAATAAAAAAATAATTTATTATTCATTTTAGGAATGTAATAGTTAAAAGTTGATGATATTTGTTGGATTGTAACTAAATTGTCCACAAATATGTTTTATATATGATTAAATACATTGGATATTAATTGTTTTCACATTTTTTTAGACCGGCATGAACCGGCACAAACTGGTTATACCACCGGTCGTACCATTCCACTTGCCAAACCGGCACAACGGTATAAACCGGTTTGACAACCTTGCTAATGACAAATAGGGAATTTTGAATTTTCTTTTCTCAGTCTCAGATGCGCGCGGACTTACGCGGGTTGGGGTTGACTAAAACGGAGCTTCTTCTCCTTCCTCCGCCGGCATCCGCCGATCCACTTCCGAATTCTTGACCGATCGATTATCCTCCAAGGGATGGAGGCGGCGTCGGTTTCTCCATCTTTTTACCCATTAGACTCAGGAGTGTTGCTGAGTTACGAAGAGACAGCTACAGGCTTCGTGAGCCATCTCCGCAGCGATCTGAGCATGGAAGAAATCCCAACAGTCTCTCTCATGGAGGAGCCCGACGCTGACCGGAGACAATTGCTCATCGATCAAGCCAAGGTCTCCATCGTCTTCCTCTCTGTCGGATACGCCGCGTCGCAGCGGCACATGGACGAGCTGGTGAAGATAATTGACCGGAACGAAGCCGAGAGAGACTGCGTTATTGTGGTGTTCTACCGTGTGACGACGGACGATGTCGAGAAATTGGAAGGGGAGTTCGGGGAAGCGTTCAAGCATCTCGCCGGCGGCTTCTCCGACGAGGTGGTGGAGCGGTGGAAAGATGCTCTGGTCAAAGCAGGATACCTCACAGGACGAGTGGTCTCTCGCGACCAGTACAGTACAATTCTCATTAATTGTTTTTTTTTTTTTCAATTCACTGTGCAAATTGTTGATCGAGATGCTGAAAATTGTTCCCGTTCTAATTACAGACATGAGTGCCATCGTGTGACTCGAGTTGTGGGCGACGTTTCACGGTGGCGGACCCATTTGCGCATCCCTAATTCGAAGGGAGATTTCGAGATCGACAGACGAATGAAGGCTTTGGAAGCCCTTGTACTGCTACACGACGATGGTGGTGGTGGTGGTGATGGAGTCAACGGCAACATTTGTGGCGTTGGAGTTTGTGGGATGGGAGGTGACGGCAAGTCCACTGTGATGAGGCATGTCCTTAGCCACATTCAAGGGCAATTCGATGGATGCTGCTTGATTAAAGACCGAGGCAACGAGGCCATCAATGGGGAGTTGTTTCGTCTGAATGATACTCTATGCAGGGAGAAGAACAAGGTCCTGATTGCTCTGGATGGTGTGGATGTATCTCAACAGGTTGAACATCTCCTGAAACGGTGTGGGTGGATTGGTTGCGGAAGCAGGATTATTGTGACGACGAGAGACGAAGATGCCATTGATGTGGTAGCGCATGGAGGGATTAAGGTCGGCACAGCAGATCACAAGATTCGCTGGCGACCATACCACAAGGTTGAGGGGTTCAGCGACGAGGAAGCCTACAACTTCCTCGTGAAGATCGCCTTTGGTGGGAGGGTTCTTCCTGACGATCTCAACCAGGTGTTGAAGAAGGTGATCAGCTATGCGCAAGGTAACCCATTTGCTCTCAGGGCCTTGTGCCGTGGTGGTCTGATTGGGAACACCGGTGCCAGAGTCTGGAGAAGCATGGTGGAGAAATTGGACAGAGTGGCGAATCTGGACATCCAGGCCAAGATGAAAACAAGCTACGACGCACTACCTGAAGAGCAACAGGACATGTTTCTCGACATCGCCTGCTTCTTTGAAGGGGAAAGTGTTGATTACACAGTAGAGATGCTGGAGGCATGCTACCCTTATTGTGATGTAAGAGATGAAGTTGGGTATCTCAGGAAGAAGTCGCTTATATCGACGGATGGTGATGTTATAGGTATCCACAGTCTACACAAAGCAATGGCCAAAGAGATCGTCCGTGTGGAGGTTGGGTCTCCTGGAGGAGATGTGCGCCGGGCCAGGATGCTATGGAACCATGACGATGTTCGTCGTGTGCTGAGTAATGGTACTACGGTAAGTGCATCGATTCGAGGTATAAACCTGGACATTTGCAAAGCAAGGAGGATGGGCTTGCCTCGCGATGCGTTTGCAGGGTTGAGCAATCTGAAATTCCTCAAGTTTCATATATCTCCTAGTTGTTCTGCACCTTGTGGAGAGCATCAGCACTACAAAGTTTATCCATCTCAAGCTTCCATTCGTCTTCCTGATAAGCTGATGGTGCTTCACTGGCATAGATATCCATTGGCCTCTTTGCACTCGCTGTTTAATCCTCGCAACCTCGTTGACATTCACCTAGTTCATAGCAATCTGGAACGGCTATGGGAAGGAACAATGGTTGGTTGGTTTGTATCATTGGCCTTTTACCTATCAATCTATGTGTTCTAGCTAACGAGTTGTGTTTTCGCCTTTTGCTGGAAACAGGATCTTCCACAGTTGAAAAGGATCAACCTTAGTCATTCTGAAAGGTTGGTGGAGATGCCAGATTTGTCCATGGCCCCAGAGGTGGAGACCATAACTCTCGTGAGCTGTGTATCATTGGCTCAACTTCCATCGTCGATTAGAGATCTGAAGAAGCTTATGGTGCTCAATCTGAAAGATTGTGTGAGTGTGAAAGTTGACAACTTGCCAAGTCTGGCTGCTCTGGGAAGCCTGGAAACTCTTGTCCTTGCAGGGTGCAGCAGTCTTAATCAGCTTCCAGAAATGCCGCCATATCTGAAGAAGTTAGTCGTCGATGAGGAATGGAGGAGTTGCTGCTAAGCAGTCAGATACCAGGAATCGTCTCTTCCCGAGGCTGGGACATATACCATACTGGGCGCCTTGGATTGAGATTTAAGAGGGTAGACCGTAGATGTATTAGGAACATTAAGAGAATGTCCATTCATTCAGAATGGGGTCTTTGCGATTTTGCTTTTCCTTCAGTTGTTTTTTGCTCAGAGTTTGCAAGAAATAACAGTTCATGGTTATTTCCCCTTTGATCACCTTCAAAACTTTAAGATTTGCACATATATTTTTGGGTAATGTCTATTTTTTACCCAAATTTTTTTCAGATTCTTTTATTTTAACCAAACCTATTGAATTCCTAAAAATTATCCAAACGTTAACTCTCCGTCAACTTTTCTGTTAGTAATGCTGACTAAGTATGACCATAATGAGTTGACTTCCTACGTGGCGGTCAGAATACCATCATTTACTATTTTTAATAAAAATATTATCAAAAAACAAAACAAAATCCCACCCCTCACGTGGACGAAATAAGTAACGGTAACAGAATGAATGCCCAGACTTTGATAAATTATAATACGTTTGGATAATAAATAGAATTTCTATAGGTTAGGTTAAAATAAAAGAATCTGAAAAAGGTTTGGGTAAAAAATAGACATTGCCCTATATTTTTTTTTTGCCTATAGAGTATAGACAAAGTAAAAATCATATGATCTTAACGTGAGAATTTAATAATTTACTGTATTCACTTCCCATCTTTAAATAGTCATCCACTCTACTCTTTCTTATAAAAAAATATTAATTTTGGTTAACTACCGTGTGTATATAGTCTAAATAAGCTGATGATTGTATATGCTTCTTTATACTTCGACAAATTACAATAGTCGATTGCTATTTTTTATTAAACTATTATTCGAATTTAGATTTGAAGAATCGACACTTGATATTTATCCATTAGAGAATAGCGTATAGTATCATACACCAAACTCTATTTAATTCATGGTCCCCAAACTCTATTCAATTCATGATCAAAACTCGAAAGTGACACATCATACTAGAAGTATCCAAAATATCTATACTTCTCCCAACTTTTGACTTTTGAGTAATCATAACCAAAGTTGGTTAATTATGTGTATACTAAGAATGAGTGGGTATTAGGGGTGTCCATTTGGGTAGGGTTCAGTTAACCGAACCGAAACCCGACTAAACCCAAAAACTCGAAACTGAAATCACTAAAACAGAACCCAAATCCGATACGGACTTTCAGTTTTCAGTTACTCGAAATCCGAAAATTCCTTATCGGGTTCGGTTAAAGCAAAACCGAAACTCGAAAACCCTAACGCCTAAGAATACGGGCTGAGTGCTTTCTCTTGGAGGTTTTTAGTCGAAATCCGAAAAAACCGATAAGCAAAAACGAACCCGAAACTAAAAAACCCTAAACCCGAAATAAACCTGAACCCGAAAACCTGAAAATGTATCTAATCGGGTCGATTTCGGGTAAATCCGAAAAACCGAATCCGAATGGACACCCCTAGTGTAGGGATGACAACAAAACCCGAACCCACATGTACCTTACCTGACCCAACCCGCGTTGACAGGTTTCGGGTCGGGTTTGAGTTTAAACTCGTACACTATTCATCGGGTTGGGTTGAGTTTGGGTTTAGGGGCACCTGACCCATGGATACCCGCTCACACTTATTTCGTCGCCCTATTCTCCCCAAACCCTGCCCTAATTCTAATTTCCTCCAATCTAACTCTTACTACACTTATTCCGTGTGAATTTATTTAGTGTAATTGTGATATGTTTGAATTTTCTTGAATGGTGTTTTATGTATGGATAATTTGTATGGAGAAATTGATGGAAGGGATTGCTAAAATCTCGTACTCTATGAAATCATTTTCGAAAAAAGGGAGCCCTTTTTATGTTTGAATTTTATTTTGATATAAACTTGTTATTGTAAATTTTTTACCACAAAAACCAATGGGTACCCATGAACCCGCGGATACCCAGCGGGTTGGGTTTGAGTTTTCCAAACCTAATGTATTTTACCCCTATTATTTTTATGGATAAACCCATGGATATTGGTTTGGGTTGACAAAACCCGACCTAGCTCGACCCTTTGCCACCCCTATCCTAGTGGCCAGTGGGTATTAAAAATGCTTTGTTTGGAAAATATAAAAAATGCAAGAGTTATGCATGAGATGGACTATTGATACTGAATCTGACCAAAAAAGATGAGATTAAGTATCATTTTCGATATTATGAATATATCATGCATTTAGTGATAAAAAAAAGTTTAAAAAAAGTATTGTATTCTGCCGAATACATGTATACTCAGAATACAGCCTTAGTACTTTCAAAAATCTCCCTTTTGCAATTTCAATAATAAATACTTCATATATTATAATCAACAACGGCGTTACATTGACAACAATGAAACCAAACTAAAATACTAAATTGTAGATTAGAAACTCAGGGCAACAGAAGAAAAGGCTTTTCTTTTACATGATAAGGTTTAAGTAGATTGAAGAGGAATTGACATATACAATCTGCCTTGCAACTTTTCAGTAGCAAAACCTGCTACAGCCCTTCACCTACTGCTCCATGCGCTGTTGATAATATATCACTGCACCAGAGCTGCTGTGATATCTAAAGCTACTCCCATTGCAGGTAGGATTTGTAAGGTCCTTAGACTGCAGCTTTTGCCCGATATAGAGCGCATAGCACAAACAGTTCCATTCACATCTCTAATCGCTTACTATAATAACTAACAAAGATCAAATCACATATCTTTCACCCACACTCTAATCCAACTGAGAATAACAGCTTTAGCAGTCATGAAAGCAAACTGACCTTCGACCCCGAGAAAACAAGAATCTGCGCCACCACCAAAGGTCGTTCATAAACTTTTTATCTCTGACAATTCCTCTATTGCGCTGAAGATGCTGGCGTGAGCTTAGGGTGGCCTTTCTCATGAACACCGATGATGGCATTGGTCCATGCAGGGCCAAAATCTATCATCATTACCGCCAGAGGGGATGCCAGAGAGGCTATTTGGCATGTCATACTGGTTTATCATATTAGCAGCTAAAAGGAAGCACACCACACCTCTGCAAGCTGCAGCTGTGCAACGGGGTTTTGCGATTCTTTGCAGGGAAGAACTGGAAAGAAACAGACTTGGAACCATGTAGATCGAAAGAGTCATGCCACAGGAAAACATGCTCTGACCCAATAACTCTGTGTTTACCTTTAGTGCCAACCCAGCCCCCTGAATGGGCGATTAGATCACTGTTGCGACCGATCTTTGTTTCGAAATGGCATTTGCACTCGATATTGAACTGGCCATCATCTTCGTAATTCTCAAATGAAACAACAGCACACAAAGCAAAGCCCGTTGATTGACTGTTGCATGGAGGAGAAGGGAGCTCAATAGTAATTGAAGATCCCAAACTGCTAAAATCAAACCACATAGGAATTTCAGCTCCAGGGAAACAAATAGTCGCTGAGGGGCTAGACAGAATACCCTGCAACAAAGAGAAACTAAAGAAATTATAAAGAAAATAGTGACAATAATAAGGCACATCGCTGCTGGCCACACCATGAGAGATGACAAACATTGATAAAGTGTGACAACGAGAACAACCTCATAAATTTGCTTTGATGCAGTTGCCACATGCTGGACCTCAGGCTGGGCCGCTGATGGGAAGATGTTGTCTGCCATATGTTCCAACTTGAAGCAATTACTAAATATAAAGCTGGAAGCCATTCCACGATAAATGAAGGATGAAGCTGACACAGCTTCAAGTTCCCCACAATTATGTGCATCTAAATACTCAAGACTGCTGGGAAGTTCAGGCAGAGATTTAAGGTTCTTGCAATTCTCTAGGTCTAGGATAACAAGTCTATCAAGATTCTTGATGAATGTTGGCAACTCTCCAATTCCAGTTCCAGCTAAGCATAGTTCTTTCAAACTCCATGAGATCTGAGGGTTTTTTCCAGATTCAGAAAAAATGGAGAGATCAACAATTTCAAGGGTCTTCAAGCTAACAATGTCTGCTATAGTTTTTAGACTCTTACAACCTCTCAAATTGAGGATAACTAGACTACGTGGACAAGAAACGGATACTGGAAACTGAGCCAAACTAGCACATCCTTCAAGATTGAGCTTCTCGAGTTTAGAAGCCAGCAAGAGTTCTGGCACTCGAATTAGTTCTCGGGAGTAACTGAGACCAATCCGCTTCAAATTCGGGAGAACCTGCAGTGTTATAAAAGTTTCAGTCACTAACTAACATTCCTGATTATTGGTGGTTCAAGGAATTCACATACAGATTCTGGAAACTCCAACAGAATTAAGTACGTACCATAGTTCCTTCCCAAAGTCGTTCCAAATGACTGTAAGGCATGTCAAGTTCGATGAGGTTGTCTGGAAGGAACTGTGGAGGCAAGGTCTTCAACGGGTAGCCATGCCAATGCAGAAACACCAGCTCGTTCGGTAAACTATCAAGACCTTCTGGAAGGTGCAACTTGCAGACCTCCCCAGCAGACTGGTTGGATATTTGAAGAAATCTAAGGTTATGCATCTTCGAAAATGCCGCGGGGCTCAAGTGCATTTCGTCCACTTTTGACAGATCCAGACTTATGCCTCCTATAGTCTCAGTACCCTAACAAACAATAAGGGGATTTACATGAATTAGCAGGTCAGTAAGAAATCATGTCAGCCAGACCAGAGGCTATAATATTAAAAAGGTGAAGTAAAATACATGAAGAGAGGCGAGAATAAATGCATACTGTGTTCGTAGTTAACACTTGATAGACATCATCATGATCCCATAACCTGCTTCGCTTACCTACGTCGGAGCAATTTTCTTGGCGGACGATTCCCCTACCCATATCTTGGACTGGATCATGCATCATTAGCCTATTATCAGAAATGGTGAGAAGGCCCTTCTCAATGAGAACTGCAATTCCAATTTCTGACGAGAACCCAAAGCCATCTAAAATCTCTTTGACAAAATCCTCATTCATCCCTTTGAAGAAACAGGCAATGTCTAGAAATATATCCTTCTCTTCGTCATCCAGATCATCAAAACTTGTTCTGAGGACTTGAGGAATTTGGTGGCCAGGCAAGCTTTTCAACTGCGGCATTAAGGCTTCCCAAGCTTGTTTGCTGCTTCCATGTAGAGTAGAACCTAGTACTTTGAGGGCCAAAGGAAGACCTGAAGCGTACTTTAGAATACTTCCTGAAAGTTCCAGGTAATCTTTGTCGGGAGTACCTTTACCAAATGCAGCTCGAGAGAAAAGTTCAAGGGACTCAGCGTCGTCCAGTCCTTTCACCTCGTACGTACAATTGACTCCTAAAGATGTAAGCACATCTTTACATCTAGTGGTAATGATGATTCTACTTCCAGGACCGAAACTAAACAATTCTCCACTCAAAGATGCCAATTCTTTGGCATCACGAATGTCATCGAGAACAATCAAAACCTTTGCACGTCCAAGCTCATTGGTGACAGTATCATCGCTAGAGCTTTGTTCCTCTGATATCTGAGAAAAGAGTTGTTTGCGCAATGCAGATATCCCAGAGTACTCCCTGAAGCTTTCCACGAAACAGGAAGCATTGAAGGTGCTATGTATTCGGTTGTAAATAGCTTTGACAAGGGTTGTCTTACCAACACCCGCCATGCCGTGAATGCCTACAATTCCAACATCAGATGAGCCTAGGCATAGCAGCTTCATCACTTTCCTAATGCGTGAATCTATTCCAACCAAGGAAGTCTGACGCAGTTTCTCAGACAAACTTGAAACAACTTCATGAAGGAGAAAGGACTCCGACTTCATATTGGATGTTGCCCATCCCGCCAGATTGCTGACTTCAAGCAAAGCCTCTCCCCACCTACGGACCCTATAGAGATTGTTACCGCTCCCCACTTGTTTGCCAGAAAAAGCACAGAACTTCTCAAACTGACGACGAACGTCGCTAGGATCTACGTGGTAGAAGATCGGGACAACTAGCTGGCCTAAAGTTTTCCTGCAATCGAGTATCTTGACCAGCTCATCCAAGCACCATGCGGAAGACGCATAATCCTTGGACAGAACGATCACAGAGCTCCTCGATTCCTCAATCGCCTTCAAATTGACTTCAGCTATTTCATCTCCCTTCATGAGTTCTTCGTTGTCGATGAAGGCACGAAGGTTCTGCCGAGCCAAAGCCGCGTAGAGATGGCTGGTGAAGTTGTATCTGGTGTCCGTACCTCTGAAACTGACGAAGACATCATACTGAACGGTCCGAACGGCGGTGGAATCGAGAGGAGGTGGAGGAGGAGGAGAAGGATCGATCAGGTAAGCCGGTGGTGGTGGCGGCGGAAAGTAGCTCCCACGCAACCTTTCCCGCAAGATCTTGACTATCTCGCCAATGAGTAAGGCTTCAGAGCTCTCACCGGAATGAACCCATCCCTTCAAGCTGCCAACGTGGACCAAAGCATCCTTCCACCTCTGAACTTTGCCAGGGTGATCGACAAAACGCTCGGAGAGTTCCGAAAAGGCTTCACCGAATCTCCCGCTTTGAAGACGGACATCGCGCGGATCCAATCGGTAGAAAATTGGGAAAACCAACTGGCCTAGGGTTTTCTGACACTCAATTATCTTGACCAGCTCATCCAGACACCACCTCGAGGAAGCATAACCTTCGGAGAAGATGACAACTGAAGATTCCGAGTCTCTCAGTGCAGAAGACATCTGCGCAGAAATTTCAGCCCCACGCATCATATCCTCGTCGAGGAAGCTCCGGATTCCTGCTTGACGCAAAGCCGCGAGGAGATGGTGGACGAAGCCCTGTCGAGTTTCAGGACCGAAGAAATTTAGGAACACACTATACTTCCGATCCAAAGCAGAGGCGAGATGGGAAGAAGGCCGGGATGAAGCATCATCCATGGCGGGAGTTGGGAAGAAAAATGATCAGTGCGACTGGAGTGGAGAGAATGGGCAGGTCGCTGGGGAAGTTGTTCGTCTGCGTTGACCTGTTGGCTGCGGAGAAGTCAGTTCATTCAAGCAGACGATTAGCAAAATAGAATTGGGGATATGCTGGTCATTAGTTGAAAAATGGGCCGCAAGATAATGGGCTTTTTGTTTATCATGTTGGAACGATGGGCCACATTCAGTAAGCCCAAAAGTTATCCAGCAACAACCTACCAAATAAAGGAATCCGAAACAAAATCGGACATGGGAAACCCGTAAACCGACACCCGAATCCCTTTATTTTTTATTATAAAACCACGCCCAAATCGAAACCGAGCCATTCATCAGTGGTCAGTCTCCCCAAATTCTCACTGGTAGCCGGAATTTTGTTTTTGATTTCCCCGGCAGCTTCCTGATTTGTCTCGTCAGAATCAGATCCGAATCGGATAATCCGTCTCCCCGTTTCCCGCTGTCCTGCAAGGCTTCTCATACCGCCTGCGGTGATTCTTTCTACCACAGGGTTCAGAATCCGTCGCATCCAGCTTGCCCGCCAGAAATCACCATGTCTCGGACTGTCTACATTGGTAAACTCACTCTTCCCGTCTCGTGTCCTCTGCTCGTCGAGCCTGAATGTTCCCTTACTTTTCCAATTCCAATTGGTTCTCAATATCTCGATGCAATTGAATTACCCTAATTCTGTAAATTACGCGGAAATGGAAGATTTTTGCTTATTGTGTTGTTTTACTTGCGGTTGCTGCTGCTGATTCCTTGTCTTCTCGATTTGGGTTTGCTGTTATTATGGTGAAAGCTAACATCTTTTATTTATTTTTGTGATGATAATGGTGCAGGGAATTTGGACGAGAGGGTGAGTAACAGGGTGTTGTATGATATTCTAATTCAAGCGGGCAGAGTGGTGGACTTGCACATTCCTCGCGACAGAGAAACTGATAAGCCTAAAAGCTATGCATTTGCAGAGTACGAGTCCGAAGAGGTTGCTGAATATGCTGTCAAGCTATTTACCGGCCTCGTTACCCTTTACAATAGGACCCTGAGATTTAAGGTTTGATAATGGCTTCCATAACATTTCAATTACGTCCCTTTTGACTCTAGCTGGAGCCTGGAGCTATTTACTATTAAGGTTATGGGGTAGCTGAGTACTCTGTTGAAAAAACTAGCGCATTGGTAGATTATGAATCCATGTTGAGAATAACTCGATGATTTCACGGATTTTCTTATTCATATGGGCATGTAGTAGCTTTCTGTTTAGTTATTTTCATTAGGTGTTTGTTTCTCAGTCATTGATGTATGGTATATTGAACAGATCTCCACCTCAGAAAAGGCTTCACCGAGTCTTCCAAATGGACACTCCACGCCGCTCTCTTCTACGAAATCTAGGCCGCATGGGATGCCAATTAATGACTCTGATTTTGCTAGGCAGACCATGAGCATGCGGGCACCAGGCTCAGCTTATTCTTCCAACCAAGGTATTGCATATTTTTTTCGGTTTGTTACCGTTTCCATTTCTGCAATCCATGCCTGATTCTTGGTTAGGTTCTATTAGTTACAGTACTTCTGAGCAAGTGTTTTTTCTTTGGTTGGTTTCCAGTTTCCCCTGCCCCAACAACCTATCCTAGTAACGGATACGGTTCACATTACAATGGTCATGATAACAATCGGAGAGTATATGGGTCCCCACACGATTCCCTTAGCCGTTCTAGGTTTGGACGTTGAGTAACCTAGAAAAAACTACAGCTTGCTTGCAGTCTAGATATAGAGGTGTTTTTTCTAGGATGCTGAATTCTCTGCTGTAGTGCTGATGCTTGTAGAGCAAGGGGCTAATCGATGATCGAGAGTAGTGGCTCAAGCTGTGAATATGTAAACGGCTAGGAGAAAGGTGTTGTGCTTAACTCTTAGCCATCTTGTAGACTAAATTACTGGTAGTATTCATTCTGGCTCATAAATGTTGTCTGTGATTCTCCAGTTTAGTGAATCATGTTATAGTTAGTGCCAGTGGATTTGAGACTCAATCATCTCCTTGTTGCTTTCTCTTCTTCCATGGTTTTTCTTTATCATGGAGTTACTCCATCTCCAACTTGTTATTTATTCTTAAGCTGCTGCTCGTTGTTGCATCATCATCTTCATCTTTCAGTGAGGTGTTTTGATGTGGCCGAGCATAGCAAGTGTTGTTGTTGTCATTTGTCTTCACCCTAAAGGTTGTGAACTGGTGATGTGTCTTATAGTTTGTTTATGGAACATGTATGGTTTCTCTGGTGGTCAAACTGTCACTGCTTTCAAGCTTTTTATGGGCACTGAGAGTGTCTGTTAATGAAACATTGTCTTAAAGTGCTCTGCCCTTGCTGTTTGTAAGGTTTTATTTGCAGTTTCAACTAAATTTGCTTATGCTGTCGCGGACCAACCTGGTAGGACTAGATGTTTGGGAGCGAGATTTTAATCAATGATCTCCTTGTCCTATACCGGTTCTGATGGTATTGCTACTTGTCCAGCTTGTGCATGTATACGAGGTGAGTCTGAGTATGAGCCATATGCATGGTTTCCATACTGCCAGACTGCTGTCACATTGATTCAACGTCCATTTCTCTCTGCTTGAATTGAAGATATGGTGTGAACCCTTTTTATATGGTTGGTTGATAGATAACCATTTCTGTCTATTGAAAAGATGGAATGCCCTCCGGACCCTCTTACCAGTGGCCGGCGGGTAACCATCAAGGAATATAGTGCAGCAACGGCCTTCACTGAGCCATGATGGACCTGAGCAAGCTTTGGCGCAGCCTGTACCTGAGTACATGGACTTGGTTAATACGTTGAATGGGAGACTATATGGTACCAGCCATCATGGTATTGGGTACGCAGCTTGGTATCTGGTCCAATTGTTTGGTTCCTAGCTGCCCCTAGTCCGTATGAGCCGCTAATAATCAAAGGATTTGGCTGTCCCGTCGAAAGGGTACGTGATGGTGAAGAAGCAGATGATAGTGAGGTTCACGAAATGAGGTAAAGAAATGAGGGATGCTGGTCATCTCCGTAACTCTTTTCTTCCTCAATCCGGTTACAGTCTTCACTGCTTTTGGTGAGGACCTCTATCCATTTTACTTAGAAAATCCTATAGCCCCAACTGGGGCTGTCAAAATGGGTTGAGAAGCATTGACGGTTGAAAGTCGATGAATTTCTAACTGGTTTCAATTCAGATAAAACCGAAAGCTGCTAAAATCTAAACCCACATTCCTAGACACATACACACTGAAAAATGGTTTGTTCAAACTGAAATCGAACAATTAACGATGCTTAACTGTTTCGACTAGCCATTATCCTTATACTTTTTTTCGTAGAAGTGCCTTATCGGTTTTATGGGCATAGCAGTTAGGTATCGCTACGAGTAAATACTCATTGTTTTGTGGTGTATTGATATTGGTTTTGTGAATGGATAATGCTAATTTCTTTCAAACTTTGTGATGGCTAGTCAGTCAAATATCATAGCTTGAAAGTTTGATCATGGCTTTCTCATTTTGCCTTCATCATCCCCAAATAGGCGTTGATCGCGAAGATTGATCGTTTGCGGTTGCTCAACACCAAATGAGATGTAAGGAAAACTCCAGAGTATACACATAGAGACTCATTTAGCCATCAATCGTAAAGTTGTTTGCTTCACTGTAAACTAGTACAAAAAAGCAAGAAGAGAAATAGCTCTTGTTTTTATAGAATCACAGTCTTTTTGCAAATGGGGTTTCTTATGTTTCACTCTATAATTGGCATAAGAAATTTTACAAATAATGTAACAAGTAGCTATCCATCTCTCTTGAAATAAATTTCAATGAGTATGTTTGAACCGCATTTATTCTAATCAATCAAATTTTCATCGGTGTTACTGTTTCATGCTTCTTCATAAACAGTTGTTTGTTTAGAGGTTTTTAATTATTATATTGTGACGAGTTGTTTGCTATTTTGTACAAGTAATCACGATAAAAAATTAATTAGGTGAAAACTCTGTTTTGTAGCTGTGCTTTCATATATGAATTCAGGTATGACGTTTAATAATATATATTGATGTTCATAGAAACTTGATGAATCTTGAACTTCTCTACAAATTAATTTCAACAAAAGTGAATACAAATCATTTTCTTACAAAAAGGACTCTAATTGTCTGCTGGCATTCTACAACTGAAGTTTAAAATTCCTTTCTAGACTAATGAGATGCCACAATTTAATGGTAAACGGGAAACTAAGACACGGCTGCACCACCAAGTCAAAATTTGAATGTTATAGCCATAGAAGTAAGGACACCTATCTAGCTACCCTACCCACATCTCTCTTTATATAATCCCCTCATTCCACCATAGCATAGCATAGCACACTTCAGAAAACAAAAAGGCCATGGCGGCAAGAGAACCAGGAGAAGAAGAAGAAGTGAAGCTGATCAAGACATGGTCGAGCCCTTACGCCCTAAGGGCCGTTTGGGCTCTGAAGCTCAAAGGCATACCCTACGAGTCCATCGACGAAGATCTCACCCACAAGAGCGACATCCTCCTACATCACAACCCTGTCCACAAGAAAGTCCCTGTCCTCCTCCACCATGGAAGATCCATCTGTGAATCCCTAGTAATCATCGAGTACATCGAGGAGACCTGGAGCCACAACCCACCCAGGCTGTTGCCTGAGGATCCTCTCCAGCGAGCCGAAACTCGTTTCTGGGCGAAATTCGTAGATGACAAGGTATGAGTAGTATGACCTCCGTCACGTGTTTACTGACGAGTTATTGCGATCAACTAGTGGTCAATATCGATGCGACATGCTGCTTGCTCGCGTGCAGGCACTGCCGTCGATATGGCAAGCGTTCTCGAAGGAAGGTAAGGAGCAGGAGCAAGGCCTGTCCGAAACAGCAGAGCATTTCAGGTTGCTGGAGGCAGAGCTGAAGAAGAAGAAGAAGAGATTGTTCTTCGGCGGGGAGGAGATCGGAATCGTGGACATCGCGCTGGGCTGGGTGGTGAACTTGGTGCCACTGTTCGAACGAATCCTGGGAGTGAAATTTCTGGACGAGGAACGTCATCCGGCGTTGTTGGAGTGGAGGCAGAGGATGTCCGATGTGGATGTGGTCAAAGAGAGCTGGCCGCCTCGCGACAAACTCGTCGCCAAGTGGACGGCCATCCGCGAGCGTTGCGTGGGGAAGGCGGCTGCAAACGAATGAGAGGAATTAAGAGTGGGCTTGCAAAATTTGAGTGTAGTGTAGTTTAGGTGTTGGATATTGACGTGAAAGTCCGTCCAATTAGAGAGGCTCAGGTTCCACAGGGCCCAAACAACTATTTTGTTGCTCAAAGCTGAGGGCCCAAATAATAAAAACTTATACGATGATCTGTACATAACAAGTTTAGTAGTAATGATCTATAGCTATTATCTTCTTTTTTGGGGGGTACGTTTAGGTTGTAATCTTTACCATTAGTATCCAGTCTTGATATGCACCTGTAGTCTATCCAAATGATGTATGAAATAGAATGATTAAAGTCTTTTAGACCCCGTATGGTATCTGTTTGAGCCTAGAACGTACTAGGCGGTTGTGAGGCTCCGATCTGGACTCCTTCGTCTGACCTTCTCGAGAGGGGAAGAATCTGTGAAGCGGGGGGCGGCCCCCGGGATCTACGCTCCGACGCCCAAGTTAGTACGATATAGGATGAGGTTTATGGTATGTAGAGAGAGAGAGTTTAGAGAGAGACCTTAGGGTTAGAGTGTGGGAAGGGAAGAGAGGATCCTTGGGTTGGAGGCTTTGGCCTCCTTATATATAGAGCTTGGGGCCTCCTTGAGTGGGCTTGGGCCCGGGACGCCTTGCGGTGGGCTTGGGCACGTTTATAGTCGTGTAGGCATATTAATCCATTTCCCAACATCAAAGCAAGTGGTTAGCAATTCTTATTTTTATTAGCTATTATTGAGTTCAAAATATCATAAAATTGATGAGTAAGATCTTGATAATGTAAATATTGTGACAACTAACAAATAATAAACAGAAAAAAATTCGTACAAAAGATTTGAAATATTGTTTAAGAATACAACTCGACGCTAACACACCGGTAAGACTGTTTATTAATTTTTTTAAAAAAAATTCATAAAATATCATTGTGATTACTAAACAGAAATATGCGGTAGAATGGAATAAACTCTTGAACAATATAAAAATGTGAACAATATAAAAATGTGATGAAGAATCACATCAACCATACCGATATCTACATATATGATTTATTGTATTCATGAAAATTAATTAAATATACAACTATACACGAACTCTTCACCTTTTTTCGAGATGTTCTAATGAATTAGCAATGTAATTGATTAGGACAGCTCCGATCATATATACAATAAATCACATGCACATGCAGACAACTGTCTGTGATTACGGCAACCATGTTGTTAATTACATCTTAATTATATTATTCCACAGCCAGCCAGCCAAAAGGGTGCTCGATCTCTACGTAAAGAGCTACCCCAAGCTCTCTTTAAAATTTAAATACATACATGCCCATCATTAATTATGTAGAGATTATCCCATCGACCGCCATGGCCGAGAAAGGAGGAGGAGAAGAAGTGAAGGTGTTGAAGACATGGTCGAGCTTGTTCGGACTGAGGGTCATTTGGGCGCTGAAGCTCAAAGGCATACCCTACGACTCCATTGATGAAGACCTCGCCAACAAGAGCGATCTGCTTCTGCAGTACAACCCTGTCCACAAGAAGGTCCCTGTCCTCATTCACAACGGGAAGCCCGTCTGTGAATCGCTCGTGATCCTCGAGTACATCGACGAGGCTTGGAGCCAGAACCCGCCTAGGTTGTTGCCTCGGGATCCCGTCCAGCGCGCCTCGGCTCGCTTCTGGGCCAAATTTGCCGACGAGAAGGTACGTTATTTGGTGTTACTTACGTAGATCCGTTATTGAACCTCTCTAATCAATGCGAGTTATTAGGATCGCGTGGTTCTTGACACGGTACGTATGAGAGTGAGTCTTTTTTTTTTCGACGGCGAGAGGTATTCTGCTCGAATCGTCAGTGACCCATTTCTGAATTGTACAAACTTCAAATTTGGGGTGTGGGTAAGGTTTCGGTTCGAACCGGATCAAACTCATGAGAACTATGGTTCAATAGTGTAAGACATCTTATAATCAATGACCAACTTATCAATATTGCATGCGGTCCGATCCGGTCCAAATGATAATTCGGTCCAATTTTCTTCAGTATTTATAAAATCCATGAGACTTTACCACATTTCATTCGGTTTGGTATGAGCCGATCCAAACGTCGGTGTGGTCGGATACAGACCAAACCGTTGCACATTCCTATTCAAGCCCATATATATATATTAGTATGTTGTAAAATATCTATTATATCGAACTGTTTGAGCCTAGAATGTACTAGGCGGATTGTAGAGAACGAGTGAAGCGTCTGTTCCAGATGATGGGGGGACTCCAAACTCCTGCAAAACAAGGGCCCGTGGGCGGTCACCCAGGGCACTCTCCGATGCTTGAGTTAGAGAGAGAATGAGAACCTTTGTGTTTATTTAGAGAGAGAGAGTAGTAGTTAGTTTACCATCAATGCAGATATGAATGTATTTATAGTGGTCTGGTCTGGGTTTCGGGCATTAAATGCCATTGTCAGGCGTCCTAGGCTGACCCTACCATACCTAGACCGCCTACGGCGGGCAATTAATGCTCAGTCCTGCGGTGTTCGAGGTGGGTATCTTCGGAAGATCTCGCCCCATACCGAGCAACGGCTCCTTGTGTCAGGCGGCCTACTGCCTGTCCCATCCTAGGGCGGCCGCCCTCCTTTCCCTGTTCCCCATGCCTGCTCCTCGGGTCCCTCAGCGGGCTTCGGGCCTTTCGACGGGCCTTTCTCCTTGGGCCTTCCGTGGGCCTCCAAGCCCAGTACCGCTCAGCTATGGCCCAACAATTGCCCCTTAGTCGTGAAAAGCAACGGGTTTTGGCGGCTACTCTTTATACCAAATGGCTGAGCGGTCCCCATAATTACCGCTGCCTACCATTCTGCCCCTGGCCGCCACAGAGACATGGTTTTCACAACTGTTCTATCCTCTTTCCTGTGCTACTCAGCTTCTTCCTAGTGATTTCCTCCACACCCGCTGCTTACCCGTTAAGCGGTCAACGTTGCTGTTCGCCTGGCTTTTAGGCGATTCCGCTGTCCATCCCCCTTTCGGGCGGTTTGTTGGACAAATGCATTCCCATCTAGCATCCGTTCTGGTCATTAGGCGGTTCCGCTGTCCACCCCCTTTTTGGGCGAGTGTCGGCCAAATGATTTCCCATTTGGCCGGCATTCTTCTTGGTCTTTAGGCGATTCCGCTGTCCACCCCCTTTTCGGGCGGCGGTCGTTGGACAAATGCCTTCCCATCTGGCCGTCGTTCTTTCTGGTCTTTAGGCGATTCCGCTGTCCACCCTCCTTTTAGGCGGTTGTCGGACAAATGACTTCCCATCTGGCCGCCATTCTTGCTTGGTCTTTAGGCGACTCTGCGTCCCCTTATTAGGCGGTCGTATTTGTCTGTGCTTTGCCTCTTGCCGCCTCGTCTTCCGCGTTGTGTCACACCGCCTTTTTCTTTTGCCACGTGTCAGCCTTGGACTTCGGGCCCTGACATCGGGCAGCTACCACGTCCAATCACCTGCCCGTGTTTTGAATTTCGTAGGCTAGGGTTTGCCCTAGGCTACTCAACCGTCGCCTCCCTTTCTTCTCGCCTTGCCTATTTATACTTACCCCATCTTCCTTCTTTCATTCTTCTACTTTTCCCCGAAAACTCAATTTCCTCTATTCTGCCTCTCTCGCCAAGATTGCTCGGTGCTCCCGCTTTTCCCTCTCTTCCTACTTGCGCGATAGCAATTCTCTGTCTCCGTCGCGAGCAGACTTCCTTGCCAAACTTCAACGACGCCAGAAGCGAGCCAAGAGGAAACACCGGCGGCAACTGACGATGGATTCGCAAAGCACTGCCCCTTCCGACAGTCAGAACCAGCATCTTTCCGGCGACGTGGCCGCCGTATTGACTTCCAGCGACGCCGCCGCTACTTCTGGTGACGTTAGGACCTCTAGCGTGAGCGTCCCTCGCTCGTCGGCAAAGTCCGGGAGCGGTTCCGGCGGGCCACCATCTGGGACTCGGCAAATAGCTCCAGGTACAATCTTCTTCTTGCTATTACACGCATGACTTCAGAACTAGGGCTTTGGTTTTTCTGAGCGCGTGGAGTTTAGTGCGGTCTCCTTAGTGATTTTTAGACGGTCTTTATTATGACCTTTTAGGAATAGAACTGGATCTGGCTCCTGATGCGGGAACGTCCGGCGCTCGGCGTGGGGCGTCTTCCGGGGTTGGCGATAACCTCGAGGCCTTTAGTTATTCCGAAGCCGAGAGTGAACCGCCACAGAACCCGTCTCGTATTGACCTTTCCGACGATGCCCCTGAAGACCGCCGTGAGGATGAAGAAGGGGAATTGTCCCTCTCTCTGACTTTATCCGACTCACGACCCGTGGAGGCTTTCCAAGCCATCCATGACGATGCCTACCGGGTCAGGCTGCACGAGGATATGTGGGAAGGGGAGGCCGTTCCCCAAAGCGCGTACACTCAGGGACCGCCTAACAAGGCCGCCTTCAAGCCTCACCAGGTTCTTCGACAATTAAAGGCGCACGGGCTCCCTACCGAATGGGATTATGCGGCTCCTACTCCCGAGGGACGGTCTGGTTCTTGCCCGGGCGGTTGGATCCCTATACACGTGGAGCACCTCCGAATGGGTCTGACTTTCCCTATTGATAACCTTCTTACTCGGACGCTCCTCTTTCTCAACTGCACCTTAGGGAGGCTATCTCCGGGTATAATATTCCACTCCATAGCTTTCCGGGCCGCTTGCGCAAAAATTGGCGAAACGCCTTCGTTTGATGCGTTCCGTCAGTTATACAAGATGAGGGGTTCGGACAACTGCTGGTCTTGTTATCGCCGAGAGTCCCGTGTCGGCATTGTTAGCGGGGCGCCCAAGCTAGATTCTCCTTGGTTCAACGAGTATTTCTTTGCTCGCCCCCAGGGTACATGGTATTCGGGGGAAGTTGAACCGCCAACCGGCTTCTCTTTTGGCGACAAGAAGGATTGGAACACTGATATCGATGGCCTGGAGCCCGTCAAACCGCTGTTGAAGCGGATCGTGAGCGCTCTACAAATTCGTCTTCCTCCGAAGGGCGATGATAATGCTCTTGAGATTGTTCGGCGGTTTCATGGTTAGTTATTTTCCTTCGTGTGTTAGACGAACCTCTCATGTGCTCCGCTTATGTATTTACTTTTCAGGCACTCGGCGGTACGCATCTGCTGCTCGACCGCCCAAGCCCGGGAGATCTGCCCCCGTTTCTTCCAGTCCGGCTCCTTCTGACCCTTCCGCGACGGCCGCCGTCCTTTCACTGTCCCCTTCCCAGAAGCAGCTGGTCGCCAGCCGCTCAGGAGTTCTGAAGCTGTCCGAACCGTCGAAGAGGACTTCCGTCAAACGGCCCTTGGATATTACTACCTCCAAGGACTTGATATCGGCTGCTGGGGAGGGAAGGCTGAAGGGGGTCGCGTTTGAGAAGCCGGTCACTCCCATCGATCCATACCTTGCTTCGAAGAAGCAGAAGAGGACCTCTGTCGACACTTCAGTGTCGTTCTCCTCGAATGCGTCCTTGTACCCTGCTGCTGCTAAACGTGCTATGCACGTGATCTCTGAGGGTTTGGCGGTTCCGGAGGACTTCACTCACGTCGCGGGTACCCCTGTGCTGACTTCAGAAACCAAGCATCTGGCGTCGACGACTTCCCGTTACTTCTTTGCGGTTTGCGCTCAACTTTGTCTCGTTTTCCTTGTACTTTTTCAAATTTAGACTAACTTTGCAAACTGTCTTTTTGTAGGCCCAATTTGGTTTAAACCAGATAATGCTGCACAACGACCGCCTTCTTAGTGACCTTGATGACGAGAAGACGAAGGTCCTTAAGCTTGAGGATCAGGTGAAAGAAGGCCGCGAAGGGCTAAGGGCGGAAGTGCGGGAAGAGGTTGTGAAGGAGCAGGAGCAGCTGGTAGAGGACAAGGACGCTCAGATCGAGGCGGGGAAGGAGGCAACAAAGAAAGCCCTGGAAGATGCCGACCGCCTGCGATCTGAACTCAAGGAGTCTCAGGCCCGCGAGGGCGCTCTTCAGGCTGAATTGACCAAACTTCGGCTTGAGAAGTCCGAGCTGCAGGACGCCCGAGATGCAGATATTCTGAAGGCCGCCCAGGAAGCGAGGGAATCGTTTTGGACGTCAGCGGAGTTTCAGGCCGCTGATGATGAGAAGTATCAAAAATTGCTCCGCGACACCGTGGCTGCCATTCGTCATTGGTTCCGTCGTGAGTACCCCGAGGTGGTGTGGGACACCAACTCGATATGGGATGCTGTCGAGTTCTGGGGAGATGACGACGTCAATTCGGAGGCGCCTGACGAGATCCGCCCTGTTGCCAGCTCTGCTGTCGAGACTCCGGGAACCGCCGAGAATGTGGATGCTACCGAGAATGCTGCGGAGCAGGAGGGCGTCCAGCATGGTGCATCTCAAGCGGAGACCGTTTAATTAACTTGTCTTTTTCTTTCCAACTAATTCTGCCTTGGGCAGTGGATATTTTTGGCTTCTCGTAGAGACGCCTTTGATGGGTTGTTTGTCTTCTTTTTTTTTTTTTTTTTTTTATCGTATCGTGCTTGGATTAGCTTTTGCCATCTTTTTGACAGCCGCTCATGTTTCGATGTTGTGATATGTTGCTTGTGTCGGCGACTCATGCCTTGTGGCCGCCAAGTTATGCATGCTTAGTCTAGGAGTTCCCTTTAGCGGTTGCCTGCCTATTTACTAACGCTTAGTAGCGATTAGATATTCCTTGTGTGCCACCTGTGTCGGCGATTCCTGCTT